AATCAGATCCTCTGCTGCATCTGTCCGAGAGAGAGAGGGGGAAAAAGAACGGCAGAGTGAATGGAGGAAGTGCACAAAACTATAAGTAGAATCCATTCAAGTACTTGCAAAACATTTTCCACTACTTAACGAGAAGTTTCTTCGTTCGGCTTCTTTCACCATGCTTAAAAAAAATATATATCGAAGCAAGAGAACATCTTTTGCAGAGAAAGAGAGAGATAATGTTCAAGTTGAGTCACTCGTTGCGTCGAGATGATTTTACTTTTATTATTATTCTTTTTTCTGTTCGTTTGATAAAAGTGGGTTTCATTTGTGCCGAATCAATGCAGCAGAAGTAATTAAGAAAAAAATATCAGATTTTTACCCTCCTCGACTCGCTTCAAAGCCAACGATACTTTGTGCAAATCGCAAAAAGTTGAGAGTGAAACTTCTTAATAATTCGGCTTTGTCCAGGCAGCTAGGGTATCGATAACCAATTCTCTGAAACGACACTCGAAACGACTGCCGCTGAAGAGGAAGCGAGCAAAGATTTCAAATCACTGGCCAAGATCTTAATAGACTTACGCAACGATATTACGTTTGAATTGTCAAGTTTCGAAGGATTTATGCAACTCACAGATAAACTCTCTAGCAGCAGCAGCAGAAGTAGCCGGCCAAATCCAGAGCCAGCTTTTACACAATCTGAAAGTGAAACGACAGAAAAGCAGAGCTGAACCAAACCGGGCACCGAAGAAAATTAACTTTGTTTTGCGTTGATGCTTGAGGCTATCAGTGAATTGAATCAAATTACTTTGCGTATTTATTTTCGTTTGCCACGTTCAAGTGAGTGAGTGGGTGCAAGCGTGTGCGCGCCCCACTCACATAAAATTCAATTCGATTCCAACGGTTATTTTTTTTCCATTCCGGCGTTCCCATCAAAAACGTTTCCTTACTTTCTATCGCTTAACTGAAAACACCGCATTTTTTTTTCTTTCTTCTCTCTCTCTCTCTCTCACTCTGCGCTAACTTTTAATGTTGTGTAAATTATTTTGATTTTATTCTTTCTTCGCTCTGCTTGTTGTTGTTCGTAGCTGTTTTTATATCTGTTACACCGGATTTACCTTTCCAACTGTAAATGAATGAATTGTGAAAAAATGAGCACATTGCGTGCGTAATTTAACGAACACGACTTTTTTTTTCTCCGCCTCGTCTTTAAACCAGCAAGATGAAGAAGAAGAAGTTTAAAGCTGTTTTGAGTGCATGAAAAAAAGGAAACTTATGTTGTGTTATCTCGTAGAGAGAGGAAAAAACGCCAACAGTAAATTTATAATGATGCACGGAATGAGTGCGAGGGAATGACGAAGAAGAAGATGAGAAACAACGTAGACAAGGTATACACAATCTGCGAAGAGGAAACAAAAAAATGCGTTGTTGGAAAGGGCAAATTTGAATTTTTACAGATAAGCCACATTTCATTTGTGTAAGTATATGATTTTTGATTGTTTTTCATGTTTTTCTCCGTCACTCGTTCAATGTAATTCGAGCCAGTGCCAGAAGGAGGGCCATTGAAATGAGTTGGGTGGTGTGTGTGTGTAGAAGAGTGTTAAAGAAACAGCAAAAGTGTTGGTGTTGTTGCCAAAGATGAAAAAGTATCAAAATTCATGGAGCAGAGAAAAAAAAACGAGAGAGAGAGAGAGAGAGAGAGAGAGAGAGAGAGAGAGAGAGAGAGAGAGAAAAAGTGAGTACTTACGATAAGCACTTTCATTTTATTTCCTCGAAGGTAAGAAAAGAAAGACCGACACCGAACGACCGACCTTTTGGAAAAAATAATCTCGGAAAATATTGTGAATTATCGAAGCAGACTTTTGCCATCAGATAAATGAAAGCGAACCACTTTTTTGTTTATTCAGTGTGAACCATCGTTTTGCGCCACAGCCATTGCTAGTCAAATTAAAGGATATTGGTCGAAATGCCAGAGACTCGCTTATTGCAAAAAGAGAAAATACAACAACAACAACAACAACAACAAAGCAACAGCGCGCTGAGTATATGTACCCTTGAAAATTATCTAATTGGTATCGATTTTTCGGCGCAATACAAACAAAGACAACGACCAAACAAATGTTCTGTGTGCAAGCTGTCGGCTTCGCATTAAATATTTAACATTTTGGGGAAAATGACGGTCGGTTCGCCGCATCGACGACGGTGCAAACAAAAGAAAACTATGTACTGTACACACACAGAGAGAGAGAAAGATAGCATAAATGCAACTCAATTCCGTTCCATCAACATTGTGGCTAAAAATGTAAATTGCCTTTTCACTTTGCAATTTACGCATTGGCTGAGCGAAATGTCTGACAAGCCAATCCACGAAAACTGATGTAATACATTCGCAGCAGTTTAGTCGACGATGGTGATGGTGGAGAGGCGAGGGGGACGGGGTGGTTTCTGGTGAGCTCAAGCAGATATTAGCTCTCCGGCTCTCGATGATTAAGTACATACTCGGCAAACACACAAAGTTTTCGCCCAAGCTATGTGTTTAGTCAGAGAGTGAAGGAGAGCGAAGCCGGGTGAGAGAAAGAGAAGTGGAAACGAAATGGAACGAAGAAATAAACAAACCGAAATGGAACAGCACTTCGAACTGCATCATGCTCTCATCTGGTTTGTTTGAAATCTGAAACGACTTTGCGGAACGTGAGTGTGCATAAAATGCGCTTCGATTTTTCGTGAAGAGGGAGTTTCACATCAATGCCATTGCACATATTATTTTGCTGTTTTTTCTCTCTCTCCCTATCTCCCGACTGACATCGGAATGCTTAGAGATTTGGCTTTTGTCTAATGATTTAGCGCATTTCAGTTCACTGTGATAATTAAGGATTATACACTTTCGACAATGATTTGGCGTGTTGGATGGATGTCGATGGGGTAGGTGAAAGATGAAGAGCGGGTGAGCACGTTTACATTTTGCTACGCCATCTGGTGAATTTCGTTATCATTTTACAGTTGGAAAATAATCCTGTTATTTATTCGAGCCGTTTTGCTCCGTCAGTTTTAATTTTATGTTTGTTTTTGGTTTTTAGTTGCTGGTTTGTAGCTCTTAGCTTTTGGCATTTCTCTCTCTTGTGATGCTGCTGCTGTTGCTGTTGCTGTTGCTGCTGCACATACTAAACGAGCGCCACGTTTTAATGAACGCCGTATATTGTTGAAAGCCAGCACTTTATCAACACGCATTTCCAACCCAAAAACTTATGCGGCAAATGGATTTATGCTTGGGATTTAGTTGTCTTAAAAACAATTCCTCTTTCAAGTTTTTGCAAACAGCAAACATTACATACCTTTTTCCCATCCATTCCGTTTCAGTCTCTCTTACTCTTTGGTTTGCATTAATTTCACTATTCAAACAATGTATTGCGAAGAGTGAGAGAGAGAGAGAGAGCATGTGGATTGCGGTTCCAGAGTCACTGCTGGTTACAAGTGCCTCACGACCACGGATCGTTTGCTCGGTTACTCCAGTGAGAATAATTGTGTGTATTTGGTGCGGTTTGGCGTGTTACTTTCCTAGCTGTTCTCAACAACAGTTTGCAGGACGATGATAGTGTGTGCAGCAATTTCAGCCATTGTAAAACCGGTGCAAATTCACCAGGGGATCCGATGATCGAATGGGATTTCTTTGGCAACCATGCTTTGCGATATTCAAATAAACATGTTTGAAGATTTGAACATTTTACTCGCTCCCACTTTGTTCTGCTTTTTGTCTATACATGTGCAAAAGCCCATTTTTTTCACTGCTGCTTCTGCTGCTATCGTCGTCATCGTCTTCGTCGCTCCTGATTCGCTTCAGCAGTGTAATAATGGCCTATCTGAAAACATAAATAAAAGCGATAAAAATTAAATGTTCTGTACAATGTTTCTCCGGCTAATATGCTGTGCTCCACTTCTTTTTGCTTGCTCCTCCATCGTCGTCGTCCATGTGTTGTTTTTTCACTCTCTCCATTCCGTTAATACGTGTATTTTATTGCGAAAGTTTTCATTTTTCATCGTGCGCGAATATGTCTTAAAGAATAATGTGCTTAACCAGCCCAATATTCATTTGCACAGCAACGCATTTCCGACAAAGACTGAGCGAGTGAGCGGGTGAGTGAGCGACGGCGGAGAGAACGAGAGTAAGAGAGCGGCTGGCGATGTTCAAGGAAGTATTACATGGTTTTTCTCTTCCGTTCGCATTAAATTTAAACAGTAATAAAATGCTTAATTTTTAATCACAGCACTGGGAATTCACACACTTACGACGGCCTAACGATTCCATTTTTGCCGCTCGCACTATAAGCCGCGCCAAACAAATTAATTTTGATTGCATATTTCATTTGCATGTAGCCCACAAAAGTAGTCAGCAATTTTCAAAGCCCTTGAATAGAATGCACAAGCAACACATATCATTGAAAATCTCATAAAAAATACTTCCACTTCCACTGCTGCTGCTGGTGCTGCAGCAAACAATTAATTAAAACTATAACATCAAACATTGTTTCACGAGTTTTTACTTACTTTGCAAACGCAAGTTGAAGTGCGTCATAAAAGTAGGTCGCAATACTAACTTTTCACATCCCAACGGTGCCATAACTATCACACTTATATCGCGCCAACAAAATAAATCGCTTAAGATTTGTTCAAAAAGCATATGCAATTCAAGATTTCAAATGAATGTTTTTTTTATTGAATTTTCTTACGCCTAACCTGATTTTTGGTGCGAAAATGGAATTTTCGTCAAGAATTGATTTTGATTTTGTTTTTGTTTGCTTCACTGTTGTTCTTTTTAATGGCTTCTTCGAAACAAAACAAACCGAAATCCAATTGAAAGATATTCCAATATTCCAGTCTGGAATAATGTGTAACCCTGCACTCAATGTATTTCTTGCCTACACTGTTTGTTGTATGCAACCATGCATAATGGAATTGGAATAGTCATATGCGCAAATCAAATTCGCTCATTGCGCGACGGATAACAAATGTCAAATTGGCACATGTATAAGTGAGTCAGACAGTCGGGTGTGGTTATATTTTATTTGGACTGTTCATTGTGTTCTTTGATTATACGAAAAAGAAAAGGAAGTGCCGGTTCTTTGAAGTGAATTCAGAATTTTTTCGTTTTTTATTATCACCATTCCAAAAAAATTGCATAATATAATTGATCTAAAGCCTTAACTCAATAACAATGATGTTTAATGAATTTGAAAGTAGTGATGAAATCGATCAATCTGGTAAATATTGCGGTCAAACCAGAGACTGAAATTCTCTTCTTCTTCTTCTTGTGAAATTCACTTTTATTTCAAAAACGCAATGTAACTTTTGAATTTTTTTAGCCTGAAATAACTAAAAATGGATCTAGAAATTATTTCAGGATGCAAATTTTTAAAAATCAAATTGCGTTTTTAAAATAAAAGTGAATTTCAAAATAATAAGAAGAAGAAGAAGAAGCTCAAGAGAAAAAATACCCTTCGGATCTGTGGTGTACGTATCGCTCACGCTATGCGTTCGCTCTTTTTCTGTCTTATTCACACTTACACTATATTCGTCATACAAAACAACGGCAGAACCTAAGTGTAGAACGCATGCGGTGCGCTTCAGTTGTGTGTAGCGATATTGACGCAAGACCGTATGCATTAGTATTGGTGTGAGAAGCGCGAACGTTTAGTGTATCCGCATGCGTTCTACACTTACATTCTGCCGTTGTTTTGTATGACGAATATAGTGTAAGTGTGAATAAGATAGAAAAAGAGCGAACGCATAGGGTGAGCGATACGTATACCGCAAAAATGAAGAGTATTTTTTCTCTTGAGAGATCTGAAAAATTTCAGTGTCTGGGCCAAACCAACCGAATTTCCTTCTTGAATATTTTTTTTGAAATTAATAATATTTATTTTAAATAGGTGAAATATTGCATCTTCTCAACGAGATTTGCATGACAGACGAACATGCAGATGTCACATTCGTCGTTGAAAACATCAAAATACCAGCGCACAAGACGATCTTGTCTCTTCGAAGTCCATACTTTCATTCGTTGATTTTTGGTGGCTTTGCCGAAGAAAAACAAGCTGAAATCAAATTGGAAGTTCCGTTGGGCGCATTTAAAGTGATTTTGAAATATATTTATACGGGACGCTTATCGCTTGCCAATTTGGAATGTGAAGAAATAATAGCAATTTATGATCTGGTCAATCAGTATGGATTTGACACGTTGAAGAATACCATTCTAAAGTATTTAACAATCAATTTGACGTTGGAGAATTGCGTATCTATTCTAAATGCGGCTCATTTATATTCTCTGGATGATTTACAAGCCGCGTGCATGAAGTTTATGGATTTCAATTCCACCGAGCTACTTGAACATGATTCTTTCAAAGAATTACCATCAACTTCGTTGTGTATTTTGCTGAAGCGAGATACGTTCTACGCACCGGAGATCGATATTTTTAAAGCGATCTGCAATTGGTCAACTTATAACCCAGATGAATATAATATCAAGGTAAGCTCAGATGAATAGCATTTTTCTGTATTCTGACTGTTATATTCAGTGAATTTCTTTTAATATTTCAAAATTAGGAAGCACTCACAACAGTGCGTTCTTCAGAACTGAGTTCCAATGACTTACTGAATATCGTTCTCCAAAGTAGCATTTTGGACCGTGTGCAACTTTCTGATTTAATGAAAGAAAATTCGCAAAACAAAACGAGTCGCATTCCAGGTGAACATCTTTTATGAAATCAGGAAAAAAAAAAGATATAAAATTTCGAATTAACTTTTTGTTTCAAAAATATAGCTTTCGAAAAAGATGTCGATGTTGGAGTAAATTTCGCAACAACTGAATACGGTGCGAAAACCATTTCTGGTGAAAATCCATCGGCACTTTTAAGCGGTAATTTTACGGATTATGATTCGGAAACAGGTAACACACAATGTCTTGTTTTGACGTTTAATATATTTACTGAATGCATATTTTAGGTTGCACATATCACTCATTTGACCCAATTTTTCACTCGAATTTCCCAATTTTTCACTCGAATTTGAACCCGATGATGATTTCACTTGAACCCGAAGAGATCCGACTTTTAAGTACAGATATAATTGTCGACCTGGGAGAAGTCAGATTCATAAATTATCTCAAAATGTTATTGATGGACAAAGATTCCCGTTTGTATTCATACTACATTGACGTATCGCTCGATGGAACAGAGTATAAACGTTTGTTCGATCACACCAAACAATACTGCAGATCTTGGCAATTTTTATATTTTAAACCACGTCCTGTACGATTCATTAAATTAATTGGAACAAAAGCAATTAGCATAGGGCAAAAGCGAGAAGCTTACACTGGCGATGGTCGTATTTGTTATAATTCATTTGACATTGTTGGACTGGAAGCAATACATAAAACAACTAACCTCCCGGAGTTATTCGATGGTGTTATAAAACCAACAAAAAACGTTGCAAAAATTGAATGTGGCGCGAATGTTGATAAAGGATTTGGTGGTAACAAAATGTTGAATGAGAATCCACTTGATTTCACGTGTAATGAAATTGGCTCCTCCATTGTATTACGATTCAATCAACCCCACTATATTGGTTCATTGCGAATGCTGCTCGGAAATAATATGGATCATTTGAACAAGTATTCGTTTTACATTGCGACATCGATGAGTGAAGGAGATTGGGAAATGGCGGTTGATAAACGAGCTGAATATCTATCAGGATGGCAAGAGTTCGACTTTGCACCACGTTCAGCTGTTTGTATCAAAATAGCTGGTAACCAAAAGGACGTTGTAAGTATAGTGTTTTTGTAGCATTGAACTTTTTCATAGCATTGACCATTTCGATCGCTTTGTCTCTTCTTTTTTTAGAATCTTATCTGTACTTATTTCGAATGTCCGCGTAACTCACAGAAGCCGAAATTAAGACGCTCTCCTCTGAAAAGAAAATGCGAAGTAAATGAGAACTAAATACACGGAAAAACATCCCACAACATTCAATAAACTAATAATGATAACTTCTTGTGTATTCAAACAAATAATTCAATGAGCGATATAATGATTTGAAATATTACCAATTCGGAAACGACCTTTTCTGGTACTTATAATAATACCCATTTTCTCCTGCTTTGCAAAAATGCATTTAAAGCCAACGTTGAACTTTTCGGTGATGTCGAATTGTGAATTTCAATGCAATGATAAGACCTAAAGATTAGGCACATCAAAGACGGAAGAATTAAACAAAAGTAAAATTGAAAAATAATTGTATTTACGTCTCAACTATCAACAAATAAAGTTTGTCTTAGTCGAATTGGTTGTTCAGTTTTATTGATTTTTAAATTTCTTCTGCCTATAGAGAGTTTTTTACACTTTATTGCCTTTTTTAAGTGTTTGAAATCCTGTTTATATTTTTTCTTCGATAAACTCAAACTTTTGGTGTTCCACTTGAAAGTATAAATATTTTTCTTTGTGAAATGGAATCCGCTCCATCATATGTGGAAGCAATGGAATGACGTTTTTATTAGCTGCATTCCATGCGCTCCATGTGTCTACTGTTCCAAATCGTGCCGTGAGCCAAGACTTCATTGCGTTAGTTGTGGTGCTCGAGTGTAATAGAAGATATTCTACTTTTTTCATGTGTACTACAGGTGAAACCATCAAGATTTTGTATAAAAACAATATATTTGTAAAAAATTATCAATAAAATCTCCCGATTTTCGTTCTTTTATTCAATTTTATCTATTTGTGAACCATCAAAACTGTCAAATGTTGTTAGGTCAAACGAAGACAAACTATTTGATTGAGAGAAATAAATAGAAATGGCAAAAATAAGACGAATGCATGCATGTTTACACAATAACCGAAGAGTTCACATTGGTCACAATAATTGTGACATCAATTGAATTTCAAATGATTTCGGTGATTGTGCATGGTTTTCTAGTTCATCTTGATATATTCATTTGCTGTTGATTGCTGGTACTTATTTGTTTAAGCATCGCAATAAATTCGAGTGGATGTCTTATCCAAACATCATTTGTACGGTACACACATCTCTGATGTTGCTCTCTCTCTCACTCTCTCTCAGTTGGTCTCTATTCCATTTGTCGATGTCCGTTTTCAATCGATTGAGTATGAGATGGCGATTAAACGAGAGCACACAAAATGTCATACATAAAATTTTCACTCGAATAGGTCCTTATCGAAATCATAACTAACGATACGTTTGGAGAAGTGGCCTGGCAAAATGGAAGAAGCAGCAGCAGTATCGGTAATAGCACACATGCTGAATCGTTCATATCCAATTGACCATCTATGACATATACAACATAATGCCATAAATTGGTATAAAGAGCGCTGAACTTGTCCTCAACGTTTGCGCTCCGTGTATGTGTGTGTGTGCGATCCACTTGTCTATGCTTCCATATCTACGTTCTCTGGTAATATGAAAACATATCTTAATCTCTATTTCATATCTTCCTCCACCTTTTGCCAGAGAAAAGAAGCACATGGAAAAAGAAACACATTTCCTCTCTGTTCGCTCACATACACACACACTCGCACACCCAAACCATTCGAATCGAAAATAATACGAAAAATACCTTTAACCGCTCGAAACGACCGGGATACGAGGCAAAAATGGGAATTGCAAGCGGCAACCAAAATCGAGTCGAGAGAAAAGAAAGAAAATATACTACGGAAAAAATATTTATTGCCTTATATTGGCTATTATGAAAAGCGAAGAATTCGAATTTTTTTTTCTCTACTCATGAGCTGCTGCCTCCTGTAAGATATACAGATGTTAATGGTGTGTGCAAAAATCGAAAACATTCCAGGCGCACAGAAAATCAGGGAATAGCGAATACGTTGTATCTTTCGGTGGCAGGAGACTTAAATGCTAGAATAAACGAATCGTCTTCGTTGGATTGAGATTCTTCATACATGTGTGAGGTGGTGTGGTAAGAGCCAGTGGATGATGATGACGGCAACAATGGCAGCCGAGCAGCAACAACAACAACAGTATAGCGACGGTATCAAGTGGTTTCATGAAATATTATTATGATTATTTCTGCACACAAAAGCTGTTTAATGGATTTTCGGTGTTGAGTGAACGACCAAACAGTCGATTGCTCCATCTCTTGGTCTTCTCGTGTGTGTGTGTGTGTGTCTGTGTTCGCAAAAAGCATCGGCCACCGTCGAAATAGATGTGTATTTGTGTTATAAGTACAACAATAAAATGAAATAAAATTACTCGTACAATATGTTACCGGATAAATTTTCCATTTAATTTTTTTCCTTCTTCTCTCGTCTTTGCGTCTTTTGCACTCATTTCATATCAACACGTAATGGGTCGCCTTTATTGATGGCACACTGAATCGACCGATTAATCCGACACATCAATATGGAAACGAAAAATAGAAGAAAATCACCAAGAAATTGCTTTTGTACCGCATTGGTATGAGTGAGAATACGAGGCAAATTTATAGGCAATTATTAAAATCTATTAATAAAACGATGCACTTGATTTCATTGCGTGGAAATTTTGGTCTTCGTTTTCATCCTCGCTTGAGCTTCAGGGATTACCGTTGCAGGGTCTACATCTATCTCAGGGTGGATTTTTTCTCCGAGAGCGAATAAAGTTTTCGAAAAAAGATGACCAAATCATGTTTGGTGGAAGTTTTACCGAAGTTTTTGCCGTGATTTCCTATAGCCAAACACAAAACTGCCTCCCTTCCATATTGAAAACCCAATCACCGTGTTTGATTTGTACACATTGATGCACTATAGAAGACCACTATGCTATACAAAGCACATCACTTTGGCAAGTTTGCGCATCATTATGTGAGTTTTGCAAGACATTTTGTCTGCGGTGATCCCGGTTTCTATTTACTTTAATGACCATAACGACGAGCAAAATATCAAATGTTTTGAAAAGAGAGAGAAAGAGAACAAACTTTGGCCAATAGTTCTTTCTGTTTTTTTTCCACATAACACGGGCCAATGATGGATATACTTTTCCCACATTATCCTGATTAAATAACGCAAAAGTCTCTCAAAGTGAGTTTTTATCGAAAAACGCTTCTTTGTTTTGAAGTAACGATAACAACTTGGCTTGAAAGCCTGAAGTAAAATTGAACGAGAGAAAAAAACGGGCGAAATAAAAGAAACAGTGCTCGGAAAATAAATCGAAACTTTCAGGGAAAAAAATCTTTGTGAATCGCGTTCACATGAAAAACTATGGCTGTTTCGCTTTTAGAACGGCACAAGCAAAAATGTTATTATTATGCACAGAGCTGCACAGTGAATAGATCACCTGAACTTTTTCTCTGAACACATATTTTTCAGATTTTTTTTTCCCCTTGCTTGTGCCACCGCCTGTGATTTAATGCAGATTACCGTACACGAACACTGAATAACTAAATTAAAAAAGCAGGAAAAACGACCACGAACCAAGACTATCCACATTATGCACAAATTTTTTCCTCTTCTAACAAATGCTGCTCTTTCAATACTTTGTGCATATCATTTTACGTGGTCATCTGGTTGAATGTAAGCTACATCGCAAGATTCTGTCTTCTTAATTTCCATACAAAGCTCATTTCGTCAGCCGAATGACTTTAGAAAATTGCTATCTGCCGTAATGAACTTTGGGACTTTGCAATCAGTTGGCCATTGTTGATGTGAAATTAAATTTGATTCCACCAAATGATCACCGGACTCAAAGAAATAATTTCTGTCTTAATTAGAATTTGAATGCAGTTTTTTTTCTGGAATTAAGACTTTTTCCATGTACTTCAGACATAAATAAATTTTTTCCAGATCGAGAAAAACGACCATTCGAGTGATTCAAATTTTTTTGCCAGAGCTTGGGCCAGAACAAAAAAGAATGAGCAACAAGAAAAAAAAACATACATAAATGTAAAAGAATTATCTAGACTGGTTTTTTGTGTGCAGGCAATCGAAACTTTTAAGTGAAAACATTAAAAACTGATGTGAACAACGCTGCTGCTGCTACTGCATTGAGAAATGATGAGCGGTTCGAGAGGAAGAAAAAAAACATCTAGTTTTATGCACTCGAAACATGGACTCTAAATCATCGTTGAAGAGTAAAAATAAATATGCACAGAGGAA